GGCTGTATGCAAATTAAGGTCCCGAGTACGCCGCGTTGTGATTGGCGGGCTTTCAGTGGCTCTCGTTTTTAGGGTGGGGCGAGATTATGCAAATAAGTGTATTCTGCCTGCGCTCTCCTATTGGCCGTCAGGACAAAGCTATGCTTTAGCCAATCAGAGTGTTCGGTGAACAATCGCCGTTCTGCCTATAAAAAGGTGAAAGGGAGCCGTTTAGGGCGACTTTGTCGGTCGTCAGTCGGGAGTTGCTAGCAGTGCGTGTATCGCCATCATGTCTGGTCGTGGCAAACAGGGAGGCAAGGCCCGCGCTAAGGCCAAGTCCCGCTCTTCCCGCGCCGGCCTCCAGTTCCCGGTGGGGCGTGTGCACCGCCTCCTGCGCAAGGGCAACTACGCCGAGCGGGTGGGAGCCGGCGCGCCGGTCTACATGGCGGCGGTGCTGGAGTACCTGACCGCCGAGATCCTGGAGCTGGCGGGCAACGCGGCCCGAGACAACAAGAAGACGCGCATCATCCCCCGTCACCTGCAGCTGGCCATCCGCAACGACGAGGAGCTCAACAAGCTGCTGGGCAAAGTCACCATCGCCCAGGGCGGCGTTTTGCCCAACATCCAGGCCGTGTTGCTCCCCAAGAAGACTGAGAGCCACCACAAGGCGAAGGGCAAGTGAGGCCGTGCGTCTGGCGCCCGCCCAGCCCCCCGTTTCGAAAGGGGCACCTCCGAAATCAAAGGCTCTTTTCAGAGCCACCCACTCTTTCAAATAAAAGAGCTGTTATTATCGTACCCAGGCTCCTCCGTCCCGACGTCCGCAGTAGAAAGTGCTAACCCTTCCCGCATGCGCAGGGCTGGCGGGGCCAGCCATTAGCCTTCGCCTCCCAACCGCCCCTCCCCGCTCACATCCCGAGCACTTCGCCGCCTAGACTGGGCGGGATGGGATGGGACGGGCCGTAAGCCTTAAGGACACGATCACGGCAGGTGAGGGAAACGAGCCTCTCGGGCGCCTCGGCTACAACGCCTCTGAGAGGCGAGCCCCGGCGCGCAAGTTCCCTCACCCCCGCCCGAGACCTATGCCCAGCACTTCTAGGGAGGCCCAGTAGGGAGGGGACAGTCACTGACACAACACACCCAACCCCAGTCGGTAGGAGGGCCGATCGACCCGTTTTCGGGACTGTGGCGAACCTGGAGCTTGGCCTAACTGAGCCGACTATCTAATTCTAAAGGTTTCCTGTTGTTTTTTTTCCAAGCGAGAGGACGCCTTTCCGGGGGAGGTTAGGGCTGGCGGGGGCGGACAATTTTCCGGTCCGAAAGCCGGGAAAAGCGGTCCTTCAGATTGACAAAGGGGCCTCCGGGGGCGGGCAGAAGGAAGATGGAAGCTCGATTCCGGCGTGGAAAGGAAGAGGGCATTTCGGATAGCGTGTCTTAGGGAGTGAAGGGCTACGGAGGGGCGCCCTGACCGTTGAGATTTTAAAAAGAAAAAGGACTCGGCCCGAAAGAAAGGAAAAACCGGGCAGAAAAAGCTGTTGGCAAACCCGAAAGTAGAAAGTGAGGCGAGGGGGTGGGGGCAGGGGAGATTCTGCCCCAGCCAATCGGGCACGCCGGGGAGGGTGACGTCACAGCCAATGAACAGTCAGCGCGGGACTTTCAATTTTACCGTCCCGCCCAATCGGGAAAGGACTGTGGCTATAAAGGCGGCTGCGGCGGCCCGGGACCTCGCTCTCGCTCTCGCCGTCGTGTCGTGCAGGTTGCGCCTCGCATCGCCATGGCCCGTACGAAGCAGACCGCCCGGAAGTCGACCGGTGGCAAGGCTCCGCGCAAGCAGCTGGCCACCAAGGCGGCCCGCAAGAGCGCGCCGGCCACGGGCGGCGTGAAGAAGCCGCACCGCTACCGCCCGGGCACCGTGGCCCTGCGCGAGATCCGGCGCTACCAGAAGTCGACCGAGCTGCTGATCCGCAAGCTGCCCTTCCAGCGCCTGGTGCGCGAGATCGCGCAGGACTTCAAGACCGACCTGCGCTTCCAGAGCTCGGCCGTCATGGCGCTGCAGGAGGCGTGCGAGGCCTACCTGGTGGGGCTGTTCGAGGACACCAACCTGTGCGCCATCCACGCCAAGCGCGTCACCATCATGCCCAAGGACATCCAGCTGGCCCGCCGCATCCGCGGGGAGCGGGCCTAAGAAGTGCGCGCTCGGTTCCAGGTTCCATCGCATCCAAAGGCTCTTTTCAGAGCCACCCACAAGTGCACTGAGAAGCTGTAGTACTTGGGCTCCCGTATATCCATGCTCGGGACGGGGGGAGGGAGGGGTGGCACGGAGCGGAGCGGACTCCCAACACGGAGGGTGGGTGGTAAGCTTCAGGCATTCAGGCCTACTCCCTTCTGCCTGCCTCCATCGGGGAATGTATGCCACTCAGCCACCTTGAGGCGTGCGCCCTAAACATGGCCGCTCCTCGGATAGTCGTCCCTGCTGGCGCTCTGGTGGGCGGTCTCTCTCAAAGTCTCAGAGGTGGACTCGAGCCCGGAGCACTCACGACCCAGAGCGCACCCGGGAGGCCTCCCGGCAGCTCACTGCCGCGCCCCCCCTCCCGAGATGGCCTCACCCGACGAAAGCGTCGCCCCCTCGGTCCGGAGGGCTGTGCTTCTTCAAGCAAATCCCCGGCCCTAGCTGGGGGCGGGGGGAGGCCTGTGTGGACACAGCCTGTGGGCCACTTGGGAGCTGGGTTGGCAACGGACCAGGTCCGCAGAGCGACGCTCCCCGCACCCCCACCGCCAAGGAGGCCCTGAAGGCTTCCGCCCGTGTCTGGCTGCTCTGCACACACGTGGTTGCTCCACTTTTACGTAAAGCTCCCTTTGCCTCTCGATGTGTCAGAAAAGGGGAGAGCAGTGAAGGGACTGGTGCCCCCCTGCCTCAGGATCACCGCAATTTACAGAGCACGCCCCTCGCTCTCGGCCCAGTCCCTTATTACTACCTGCGTGGGGAGGCCTCAGTGCAGGCTGCGGCTCTTGGCTCGGGTCTGGACCCCGGGGTTAGCAAGTACTGGTGACTTCACAGGTGTGACTTCAGGGGGGCACCTCAAGGCAAACCTGGCGGGGACTAGACCCACACGGCGCTTTCTGAGATACAGTCTGAGGCTCTCGGGTGCGTGACTTGCCCAGGATCTCAGGTCCCGGAGCCAAGTAGCTGAGCCGGCCCTGAAACCTGAGATGCCCCTGTCAGGTATCCGTCCTCGCCATGTCCTCTGCCTGACCCCCAGAGGCCGCTGCTTTCGTCTACCAGCCTCTACTGCCCCCTCTCTCCCCGCTCACTCACAGGAAGCCTCCCTGCCCTTGTGCTCCTGTCACAGTCAAGGCCTCCGCCACCCTCACAGCAGTGCAGTCTTTCAAACCTTTGTTATTGCTTCGGGAGACCGGCACACACTTGACTTCATCCATACAAGAGGACGATAGAAGATGTAGGTTTTCACTTTTGATCGTTCCTGAACTTAAGTCACTTCCCTACCCTCAGGGGAGAGTTCAAGGACAATGAAGGACGAGGGAAGTATTGATGCTCTTCCTCTGACAGGTAGCTTCCGCATGGCTAGCTTGGTTGCAGGAAAGGTCTACCTTGGACCTGGGACTTGACCAACTGAAAACATGTCTTCCTTCAGACCGAACTCCGCCTCGGCGTGGCAGGGGCTGGCGCCCGAGCCAGCGTAGAAGCTAGTGTGGCCCTGTTGACGCCTGTGCTTCCCTGGCAGGGGACTTGGCCTTTGGGTTCACGCCCTCTCCTGGTCGTCCTCCTGACCCTTCTCCCGGTCCCCGTCCCAGCCTTCTCCTCTTTCTCCGCCGACCCATCCATGTCCTGGGCTCACCCCTGCTGGCCTTTGTCTTTCCTACCTGCATCTCGAGTGAGATCGTGGGTTCGCCGCCTTCCCTCTCTCTGCCTCTGACAAGTGCTCCCAAACCGGTATCTCCTGCTCAGACCCCTGTCCTGAACTCCACACCAATGTTTTTCTAACTGCCTTGTGCCTAGGTCCTTCTGGATGGATAATGGCTTATCTCCAAAACGGCACCATCTTGCTTCCCCAGGCTACTTTTCACACCTCTCGTCTTAGTGAAAGACACCTTTGGCTCCCCACCCCCAGCCCCCAAGCTGTTTCAGGGCACAAGTTCCTTCCTCGTGGCCTTTGTCCAAGTCTCAGGAGTCAACAAATGCTCAATCGAATCTACTTTCTGTCTCCCTTCCTCCCTCCCTCCCTCCATGGCCCCGGCCTTAACTGATGCCTTCACCAGCTCTGAGTATTCAGGCTAGACTCTGCCCGGCCACTAAGCTTCCACTCTTTGAGCCTGTCACTCTCTTGCTGAAAAATTTCCCCTCCTTCCCAATTCCCTTCAGAATGAAGTCCACCTTCTTTTGCACCGCCGTTCAGAGCGCTGGTGGGTAATGTCCGGTAGGCACTCTGCACCCGGACAAACGGGAATTTGAATCCCGGTCTTGCCCAGACAACAGAACAGGTAGGTGGCTCTCCCAGCAAATGAATCTCTGCAGGCCTCACTTTTCCCCACTTGTAAAGCGGGGGGAGTAGCACCTTGCTAGTGGTGCTGGCGGACGTATTCAGGGATGCTTCTTAACAAGCGCCTGGCATGCTCTCTGGTCCACAATAAGCATCCAATTCGTTTTAGCGATTCCATTAATAGCTGCCTTTTAATCCCATTAAAAGGCAACGAAAAAGGGGATGGGTAACAGACCGCTAGGGTCCTCGCCGCTATAAAGGGGTGAGGGGGGAGACAGCCTGGTTAAGGCTGGAGGCCCCTTATGGTTAGCTTGTGTACAGAGAAGTTCCAGCCTCCACCTTCACCCTTCACCCCTGTCCCCAACGGATCCGTTTCTGTAAAAATGGGCATTCAGAGAATGCAATACCAGCTCTGTCCTGATTGGCCGGATACGCACCACGACCGTTGCAGAGCTCTGCGGATTGGTTAGTAATTATTTGGACACAGCTGCGCGGCCCCCAATGGACCCGGAAGGCCGCAAGGTCGGCATGGAGAAGGGTCGGCTGGGCAAGCAGGAACCAAAGCACTCGGCATTGCTTGTCTAAGCGAGTCACTGTTAAAAAAAAAAGGGGCAGCTTGTAGAACGGCTTGTGCTAGAGGAGATTTGGAGGGCGCTCTAGTGCCCACGTCCTAAAGGTGCCCAGCTCCCCAAGGACTCTGTGGGTGGCCCTAAAAAGGGCCTTTAGAATTGGTGCACGTGAGGGCGCAGCAGAGGCTTAGCCCCCGAAGCCATACAGGGTGCGGCCCTGCCGCTTCAGCGCGTACACCACGTCCATGGCCGTGACCGTCTTGCGCTTGGCGTGCTCCGTGTAGGTGACGGCGTCCCGGATCACGTTCTCCAGGAACACCTTCAGCACCCCCCGCGTCTCCTCGTAGATGAGGCCCGAGATCCGCTTGACACCCCCACGCCGAGCGAGGCGGCGGATGGCGGGCTTGGTGATGCCCTGGATGTTGTCTCTCAGGACTTTGCGGTGCCGCTTCGCGCCGCCTTTGCCCAGCCCTTTCCCGCCCTTGCCTCTCCCGGACATGGCTGCTCCGAACACGAGGTGAACCCACCAGGCGCTGTGCCGGGAGGGGAGTTCGACCCCCCCTGATATACGAGACCGTCGGACCGGATTGAAAACCGCGAGCGGTCGACATGGTCCCCGCCCCTCCGCCGTTTCTCCCCGCCCCCCTCCACCCCCTGCCCTCAGGCCGCCCTCTAGCGGACACTATCCGCCACGGTCTCGGGAGCATTCGGATCCCAAGGCCCGGCTTCCGGATTCCACAGCTGTTTTCGTCTCCTTCTCGCCGTCTGTGGGCTTCCCCCCCGCCCGCCCCCAAGGCATTACACTGGCGAAGAGAAAAGGTCGGGGGGCGGGGACCGGGTTGGGGAGAGAAGACCAGGAGAGGAGCAAATACGGGTCCAGAGGGCGCAAGCTCCGGGTTTCATCCCAACAAGAGGATCCCAGGCTCCAAACAGTAAGCAAAGAAAATGGCAACAAAAGCTGTTTCCCATCAGTAGACCGACGGACGGCCGGACGAGCCCATCGCATGGGCGGCCGGCACCTGGGCTGGAGGGGGAGGCGGACGTCGTCCCAACGCCCAGGTTTACTCTCCATTTTGTTGGTGCGGATGCCCATCCGTCCAAGACCTACCGCCTTGCTCCTCCGAATGTCACGGCATTTGGAGGCAGGGCCTTCAAAAAGGCGATGAGGTGAAAGTGGGGTCACCAGGGTGGGCCCCGATCCAGCGTGAGTCGTGACCTTATGAAAAGAGGGGATCTGGGCACAGACAATACAGCGGGGCAACTGTGGGGGGACAGGGAGAACGCAGCCGTCTGCAGGCCAAGCAGAGACCACAGAAGGAAAGTAAACTTGCCCAAATCCTCATCTCTGACTTCTAGCCTAGAATGTGAGGATATTAAGTCCTGTTTTTTACGCCCCCTCGCCTGGGGTTCGGGCCAATACAGGCCTCTGATCTCTGCCCGGAGCCTCATTCCCTAGCAGACCCACAACGCACAATGGGATCCTCTGGGTCTGCATTTGGTGAGTTAGAAGCAGAAACAACAGTGACCCTGGGCTGTGCAGGGCCGGCACCTTGTCACCCGGCGTCTCATCCACTGAAGTTTTGTTTTCAAACTTGCAGCCTGAAGTTCTCAGAGTGAGTGACATTCCAGCCTGTCAGAGCCATCTTGGCTGGGCAAACCCCTGCGGAGTTTGTAGATTTCCACCTCACGGCCCTTCCTCCCCAGGATCATACTCCCTGGACTGATACTAAATCAGGTTTTAAAGCCAAACTTATCACGCCAAAGATATCCAAGACCTCCCTGTGGCCTTGAGATTTAACAACTGCCTGTGCATCTGTCGTGGCTAAGGCAGTTCAGGGATCCCCGGCTTAGTTGGGAATCCAGAACCCCAAAACTAAATAAAATAAAAAAAGTTTTCTAAATAATTAAAATTTAAAAACATGCTCAATAAGCAGAAACAATTATTATTATTATAACAATTATTGCTATTAACCCCAACATCAACAAATGTATACAGGTGTGAAGACATCAAAGATGTTCCTTAGGAGGGTTCATCTCACCATTAATAATTGCCTTCTCAGAAGTTAAAATACCAAGCTCTCTCACCTCTACCCGCTTCCTCACTCTGTTAACTTCTTTCCTGGTAAACATGCCCAGGAGGAGCCCATAACCAGCAACTAAGGTTCTCTCTGTTAGTGAAGGGATTCCAGCTGATGAGCCCTACTACTGTGAGGACAAACTAAACTGAACTGAGCTATGGCCTCTGGGATGGAGAACCAGAGCCCCCAATCCCATTCTCAAGGCCACCGAACCATAGATGTATATTCAGGGTACATCCTGGAGGGAATAAAGTAGGTGATATTTCTTTTGATTTTTATTTTGAAGCATAGATATTCCCCTCCCTTCCCCCCACTCCCCAATCCAGAGAGGCCCAGGTTTTCAGTTAGTTACCTTACTTTCTCAAGGCCCTTAAACACAACAAGGAATTTATTCTCTGGAGAGTGTCCAAGGAGATTAAATGAGTCAGTATGTATAAAGGATTTTGAACATTGGCTGGAACATCTCTAGATGTTAGCTAAAATTTTGTAAGGACTTTATTTCTTCTATTTTCTTATTTTATAATGCTTCTTATTTGTGGTCATCTATTTTTCAATTACTAAGCATTAACAAAGTCCTCAGTGCACCTCTGAGCTAGAAGTGTGGCTAATCCTATATAAGAAAAGGGTAATATGCAAATTGACCCTAACAGCAGAATGACCAGAACGACTGCTGGATGTCACTATGAGGCACACTGACCACCTCTTGGTGCCTTTCCCCAGCCATCAGGCACCGATCACCCGATGGCGAACAGGGAACTAGAGGTGGGTGGCGGGGCGGGGCCAGCTTGGCCCTGATAGCAGGCCAGGCCTAGGGACCATATCCATGCATGAATTTCATGCACCAGGCCTCTAGTCCTATATAATAAAAGCCTAATATGCAAATCGACCTAACAGCAGAACAACCGGTGGAACTGGTCGCTATGCCGCGCACTGACCACCAGGGGGCAGACACTCAAGGCAGGAGCTGCCCCCAGCCCACAGGCCCCAGGCCAGCCCTGCCCCGACATCTCATCGCCCCGCCAGTCACCCCACAGGTGGGCCCTGATCCCTGGCCAGGCCTAGGGACCCTACTCATGCACAAATTTCGTGCCCCAGACCTTTAGTATCTTATAAATATTCATCCTTCAAGTCAGAGGTACCCATCTTTTCCATAGACTCAGTAGTAGTTGTATATGCTACCTTACTTAGTTAGAAAACATACCACAGATTTTTAAAAAAACCTTAAATTGACTGGTAGCTTTATTAACAACAGTACCATCTACACCCATTTGAAAACACACATGTAGGAAACATAAGATTTATTCAGTGTATAATAATGTCTAGTGTCCATTTGGATTCATAAAACCCCTGCAATCAACTCCAGGACTCCTTAGCCAAAAGCAGAGTTGAATAATTGATCAGACCATCAGTGTCTTTATCAGCAAAATCAAGGCTTGGACAGAAAGATTCAACTAAATAAAACTAAAATGCAACTGTCCTCACATCTAAGGGTACAATGGTGGACAATGTCAGCTGCATGGCCTGTGGACCAATCACTTTGCTTCTCTCAATCATGTTTATAAAAGGGTTATTAGCCTTGCATATCTTACAGGGTCTGTCTTACATGGTCTTCTAAAAAGCAAATGAGACTGGTAAGTGTAAATTAAAGCTCATCTCAGTGTGGAAACAAAGGACTAAAGTATGGGAGGGGGGTGGGAGGGGGAGGCAGAGGGCGTGGAGGGACAAAAAGAATCATAACAGGGGCCTCCTCCCAGCTGTTGCCCTGAGGTGTGACCACGGACAGATTTGGGAAACTCCACAAAACAGTTCCATTTTCATGTTTTCACATACAACTAATGGAAATGAACCACACCCATCCTTCCATGGAAATTAAGGGATTAAGGGGTGTGATAAGAAAATTCAATAAATGTATTTAAGTGTCCCTCCACTATGTGCCAGGCACTTAATAGTGCTGATGATATAACGGAAAGCCAGACCAACCAAGTGTTAAGGGCTTGAAAAAACTATAACAAAATAAACATCCAATTTCTGATGGCTGCTAGGAGGAAGATAAAACCGGGAGGGACCAAGACAGGAAAGGAAAAGTGCAAATTCTTGAGTGGGTGACTTGGAAAATGAGGTGTCTTTGAGCCTGGACCAAAATGACCAGTGCCTTGAAGTAACTTAAATTCAGATCTTTCTAAATTGGGGGAGGGGGGTGGAGGGATTGAGCAAGAAAGAATTCATGGACAACAGTGTAGTGATTTTGGGGGAGGGGAAGAGTAGGGAGGATAAATGATAATAAAAAAAAGATAAAGTTTGGAAACAATATTAAATGCAAAAATTACCCACAAAAATGAGATTAGGGATTTCAAAGCCTTCAAGTGAGCAGAGGAAACCAGAACCTATGAATTTCAGAACGGCGAGTAGTTTTGAATGTTAATGTAATCCAACCAGGAAAAGGAGGGGACCTGGCGGCCCGAACTCTGCTCCAAGTGCTCAGAATCGCTGGTGTCCCCAGGGCACATCGCAGGGCAGAACTAGTTGCCGGCGCCAGCACCACAGCAGCCATCAGATTCTCGGGAAAATCCTTCTGGGTTGTGACGCAGTGTTCGAGGAACCTGGGCTCGGTTGTGTGCTGGGGTCCTTTCTTATGAAGATGGCTGAAGTCACTTCGTTTTAAAAAGCCGATGAAACATACCCGAGGCACCAGGCCACCAGTCCAGGGCCGGAGGGTGGGAGGAGCCGACTCTAACCTCATTTAGAACCGACTCCGGAAAACAAAGAGCACAGGAAGAGGTTAAAGACGCGCCCTAGATTCAAAGAGCAAAGCCAGTCACGGAACGGGAACCCAAAGCCAAAGGTTTGAAAAGCTACGTGTGCCAACCCCGTAACCCTTGCCAGAAAAACTTACTTTGTGTACATAAACTGAAGGAAAATTAATGTACAGCTACAGCTCTTTCTGGTGATTAGGTGGGTGGCTCTGAAAAGAGCCTTTGGAGTCAAGCAGCTGGCTACTCCGAGGAGCGCCGCGTCCCGGACGGGACTCACTTGGAGCTGGTGTACTTGGTGACGGCCTTGGTGCCCTCGGACACGGCGTGCTTGGCCAGCTCGCCGGGCAGCAGCAGGCGCACGGCCGTCTGGATCTCCCGGGACGTGATGGTGGAGCGCTTGTTGTAATGCGCCAGGCGCGACGCCTCGCCGGCGATACGCTCGAAGATGTCGTTGACGAAGGAGTTCATGATGCCCATGGCCTTGGACGAGATGCCGGTGTCGGGGTGGACCTGCTTGAGCACCTTGTACACGTAGATGGAATAGCTCTCCTTGCGGCTGCGCTTGCGCTTCTTGCCATCCTTCTTCTGGGCCTTGGTGACCGCTTTCTTCGAGCCCTTCTTGGGCGCGGGAGCGGATTTTGCGGGCTCCGGCATTGCAGAAAAGCGCTATAACGATTAGCTGGAAAAAGAAGTGAGGTGCTAGGCGGGCCTGATCCTTTTATAACCACCGTATGCAAATTACGGCTTCAGAAGCCTCTCGTTTCCATTGGGCCACGTAGGAACCCAGTAATAAAATCGTGACAACACCAACTCTTGATCTTATTGGTCATTCCTGGAGCCCGTTTAGAACCAATGAAAAATGCGCTCCTGACCCCACCCCTAGGAAAGCTTATAAAGGCTTTCTACTTGTTTATCTTTCAGTCCTGCTTCGCTGCCACATTCTGAGCTTCTGGAGCTTTCACCTCATTTGTAGTCATGTCTGGTCGTGGCAAACAGGGAGGCAAGGCCCGCGCTAAGGCCAAGTCCCGCTCTTCCCGCGCCGGCCTCCAGTTCCCGGTGGGGCGTGTGCACCGCCTCCTGCGCAAGGGCAACTACGCCGAGCGGGTGGGAGCCGGCGCGCCGGTCTACATGGCGGCGGTGCTGGAGTACCTGACCGCCGAGATCCTGGAGCTGGCGGGCAACGCGGCCCGCGACAACAAAGAAGACGCGCATCATCCCGCGCCACCTGCAGCTGGCCATCCGCAACGACGAGGAGCTCAACAAGCTGCTGGGCAAAGTCACCATCGCCCAGGGCGGCGTTTTGCCCAACATCCAGGCTGTTCTGTTACCAAAGAAAACCGAAAGCCACAAGGCCAAAAGCAAATGAATGCTGGCAAAAGACAAAACCAAAGACCAAAGGCTCTTTTTAGAGCCACCCAAGCTTTCAAAAAAAAGAGCTAATGAGCTATTTTGTGGTCAGCCCTTGATTTGACACTTTGTTGGCTCTTAAAAGAGCCTTTGGGGGGGGTAAGTGGGGCGGGTGGTGTCAAGCGTTTTAATTACTTGTTTTTGCCAGGCTTATGACTCTCCGTTTTCTTGGGCAACAAGACGGCCTGGATATTTGGTAAGACGCCGCCTTGGGCAATGGTAACACCCCCAAGTAACTTGTTGAGCTCTTCGTCATTTCTCACGGCCAGTTGCAAATGGCGGGGGATGATGCGCGTCTTCTTGTTGTCTCGGGCCGCGTTGCCCGCCAGCTCCAGGATCTCCGCGGTCAGGTACTCCAGCACCGCCGCCATGTAGACCGGCGCGCCGGCCCCCACCCGCTCGGCGTAGTTGCCTTTGCGCAGCAGCCGGTGCACGCGGCCCACCGGGAACTGTAGGCCCGCGCGGGACGAGCGCGACTTGGCCTTAGCGCGGGCCTTGCCTCCCTGTTTTCCGCGTCCGGACATCACGGCCAAAAAGAAAAAAAATAGCACACTGTTTTACCATGAAAATGATGTGGAAAGAATTACCAATTTGATTTAATTTATAAGAGCTGTCGGGAGGGGGTGAAGGGAGGAAGTTTGATTGGCTAAGACAGGGGCCTATCAAACAGCCAGTAGGAAAGCAGAAGGCAGGCCTTCCGGTCGCGTCCGGCACTAACAGGAAATGACGGGTTCGCCACTACCTACCAATCGCTGTGAACTATATTAAAGCCCCTGGTTTGCATGCCAGGATTTTTAAAGAGACAAGGTTTTCAAATAAAGTGCTGTCTTGTTTTTCCGAGTGGCACTTTCTCCAGTTTAGGTAAATAAATGGTGGCAAAAAACCCAATGCTGGTAGTTTTTCGCAGGTTTGTTTGTTTAGAGCTGAAAGGGAAATCCCAAGAAGGACCCCGAAAGGACTGCGGGGGCCCTCAAGCCGATGCATTTACTCCCACTCAGGGGCACGGGATTATGAAGCCGATTGTCTCCTTGAGCCCTAAATTACCCTCAAAGTCCTGCCGATTCTGTCTCCTCAGTGCCAAACTCCCCTAAAGAATATATACTAAAAAAAGAAAAGAAAATGTACTAGGGCGGCTTCCTTTCTCCAATGAGTCACTGTCAGCAATGTGGCTTAACCCACCCCCACCCTCCTCCGCTGTGCGGAATCCACAGTGACTCAGGGCTACAACGGGTTGATCTTCCTCCTCATGACCTCCAGGAGGCGTCCGATACCACCTTCAAACTTGCTCCCTGGGCTTTCAAAATGTCCTCCGGCTTTCTTTATCCTGCTCCTGTTCCTCTGCCCACCCCTGAATCGGTGTGTGCATCCAGGCTCTGCCTCCCTCCCCACCTTTTATATTGTTCACTCTTCCCAAAGTCTTACCCATTTCCATGCTTTCGATGAACATCCAAATTTGTTGCAGGAACTCCGAGCCTTATACCAAACTGCTCACTGGATATTTCAACCTATTTGTTCCAAATACTGCACCTGTACAAATGCCTACCCTCACCCTCTTCTCTGTTGTTTTCCTGAATTGCACCAATAATCTTGCAGGCACTTAAGCCAGAATCTACTCCTCCCTGCATCTCAACAGCATATCCTGCTACGTCCTTAACATCTCTTCAGCCTTTCCCTCCACACTACTCTTGAATGCTCATTATCCTCTCTTAGATCAGCAACAGACCCTACAGATTCATTTGTAGATTCCTAGTCCTCCATCTGTCTAGAGAAAAGAATCAACAAATTCTATTCCTTGAGCCCCTTTCTGATGTTCTATTTTATCTTCACCTTTATTCAACCAATATTTATAGAGTACATGCTACCTATCAGGCTATGGATATACAGAATACAGACTAGTACAAAGAACTCTGTAATAAGATGCCTCTAGAAAATGGAGGAATTCTGAACTCTGGAAGTTAAATTAGCTAATATTGGCTATCTGTAGAGATTCCCTCTGGTAAGAATGCTGGTATATATCTGTGAAACACCAAATTCAATTAAATGTGATGGAACTATTTCCTCAATAACAGAATATAACTGAAGATAATTCTAACCCAATCCATTACATCATTTCAGAAGATGCATGTGGTAATAGAAAGATGTGGTCCACAAAGAGTCAAAACAGGGCAATTACAGTAGAAATGGTTGTTTCTGAGTATATGTCTGCTAGACACAAAGGATTGGGCTGTTATAGAAGGGACTCTAGTTGTGAAAGGATGAAATATTTCTGAACTCTAACTCTTAGCTCAGATTCCGTGCTCAATTAACAATTTTCTGATTAGTCTATTTGAAGATGAAAATAGGAGGCTGAGAATGGGAGAACCAGTTATGGGAAGATACATCTATCTCTAGAAGTTACATTTGCATATTGAACAGTCATAAATTTCTTATGTATTTTGTTAGTGTCTCTCCCCAAAGAGCTAGTCAACTCTAGAAGTTCTCATAGTTTCAAATTTTCAGATAGTGGGGACTCCCCCACACACAACTCTGGCACCCAGAAAGGCCCTGATTGGGAGACAAACTGACTTCCCCTCTCTGAGTTCTGATGGGTTTTTTGTGTTTTTTACTTCTATCACAGTGACCCTGTGCTGATAGGGAAAAAAGAAAAGAGATTATACTTAACTCTTATTATGTGAAAAATCCTATGCTGGGACCTACCTAGGAAGTATATATAATTGTTTGTTTCACAAATAAGGAGTTAAAGGACTTGCCATAAATCACACAGCCTCTTACTAAGACATGATTAGAACCCAGGTCGGCCTGAGTCAAAGACTGTGCTCTTTACCACTTCATTCACACTGCTTCACTAACTAGATGTTAGGCTAAGTGACTACTTCACCTACCCAGCACTGCTTTCTTCCTCTGTTAGAGTGAGAGATAAACAATACTTCAGGTTCCATCCAGCTATAAAACTGTATTAGCTAAGTCTAGATAGGCCAATATCCTTCAAAGTATCCCAGGCTCAATTACCATCTATTGCTCCCCAGAGGTCCTTTCCCAACATCCTTACAAGAGCTATTAAAAAATAAAACAGAGCAGGCCATTTATAAAAGTAGTACATCATCACAAACAGGCTGGATCTTGTTTCCTTAGCACCTCTGGGATTTTGAACCAACGGCAGCTGAGTTCCCTCCCAAGCAATCTAGTTAATCAAACATTTATTTTGCACTTTAGCTCCATCCCACCATTCAACCATCGTCCTCTCCCTTCCCCTTTCCCTCCGCCTCACCCCAACACCACCCAGCCTCCTACATACTGAGCTGTTCACATTCAGAGCAGCAAGGCCTTTCCACTGCCATTGTACATAGTTTCCTCTGGCTAGAATGCTTCATTCTCTTGACCTGCAAAATCCTCCTCATCCCACAGTTTCAGCCCAGATATTATCACCTCTTCCTTCATGAGGCCTTTCCTACTCCCACACACACAGCCTCAGTATACCCACATCTCTTTGTTCACATCCTGGTGATAGCACCACTCTGTTCTGTGCTTTGACACTGGTCTCATTTCCTTTCTATGACCATCTCAAGGGAGAGACCATGTCTTGATCTTTGAATCGGGGGTCCTTCATTCCCTCTACCTGACTCTTAATAGGGTAGTTAAATGTTTTTGGCACGATTAAATAAAACAATACTCAGAGAATTGGTGTCATCATTTCTAAAATAGTTCTCTTTAGTAACAACCACTCTCCAAATGCCCACTATAAATAATAGAGTGTAGTGGCCAGAGTGATGGAAGATATAATAGGAGCTTGTCAATTAACTGAAAATAATACATACTAGTACCTACCATAACAGAGTTGTTAGGATAAATTACAATAAGTGTAAAGAACCTAGTGCAGAGCCTAGAGCCTGAGAGGCTCAGTGCTGGGTTAGGAGGAAGAATAGCTTACTGGTTAATAGCCCAAATTCTACAGCCTGACCCGGTTAGGAACAGACCTGGCACCAACAAAGCAGGGGCATCCTAAAAATTCTTCCAATGAATTTGGAATTTCAAAAATAAACACTGGAGCCTGGCCAGTGTGGCTCAGTGGTTGAGCATTGACCTATATGAACCAGGAAATCACAGTTCTATTCCCCATCACGGCACATACCCCGGTTGTGGGCTCAATCCCCTGTAGGGGGCATGGAGGAGGCAGCTGACCAATGAGTCTCGCTCATCATTGATGTTTCTATCTCTCTCTCCCTCTCCCTTCCTCTATGTAAGCAATAAAAACATATATTTAAAAAATAAATAAACACTGGATTTATCCTACGACCCAACAATTCCACCCTGGATATATGCCAAACAGAAATGAATGTTTGCATCCAACAAAAAGCATGTACAAGAATGTACAAGTATATTCATATAACTGCAATACTACACAACAATAAAAATTAACAAATTAAATTACTGCCACACACATGGATGAATCTAACAGACAATGTTGAGCAAAAAAACAACACAAATGAATTCATACTATGTGATTCTATTTACATGACTTTCAAAAACCGACAAAACTAGTCTATGGCGAGAGAGAGGTTAAACTAACAACTACTATGACAGGATGATATTGACTTCCCAGAGCCTTCCAAGGTGCTGGAAATTTTCTGTACCTTGATTATGTGTGTATTTACGTATAAATTTAAGCGGTACACTTAAGATTTATAAATTTCCCATGTGAAAATGGAGCCTTCCAAGGTGCTGGAAATTTTCTGTACCTTGATATATGTGTATTTACGTATAAATTTAAGCAGTACACTTAAGATTTATAAGTTTCCCATGTGAAAATTATATGCCAATAAGCACAAATTAATTTTTTTCTAGTGAACAAAAATTGAAGTAATCATGGTGGGGGAAGGATGAGTATTTTGTTGGGCATCCCAATCCTCATGTTACAGATTAGTGTTTACTGTTGTTTTGTTTTCATTACACATAAGGTGACCACCATAATCTCTAGGTGCTTAAAGCCTCTAAAAGTCTTAATGTGGCCATGATAAACCTTCACTAAATAGTAGGTATTATTATGACTGTTTTTACTAGAAATAAAAACTATAGGTGGCCCTATAGAGCTTCCCCCTTGCAAAGCTTTATCTTTGCAAGAGGAATAATAATGTCAGCCTTCTCTATTCATACATTATTTCACTCATCCATTCAGTAAATTTTATTGAACACCCAAGTATGCCACAGCATCTAGAACAGTGATGGCGAACCTATGACACGCCTGTCAGAGGTGACACGCGAACTCATTTTTTTGGTTGATTTTTCTTTGTTAAATGGCATTTAAATATATAAAATAAATATCAAAAATATAAGTCTTTGTTTTACTATGGTTGCAAATATCAAAAAATTTCTATATGTGACACGGCACCAGAGTTAAGTTAGGGTTTTTCAAAATGCTGACACGCCGAGCTCAAAAGGTTCGCCATCACTGGCCTAGAATGTAGTGAACACATTCCCTTTGTCTAGATTTCTCTTTCCACAGGGTTAATTCCCTCATTCAAAGTTTTCTCTGTGCCCCTAAGTCTGGATGGCATGCCTCATTGGCATTATGACACTTAGCAATTGTCCGCTCGCTTGTCCATCTTCTCCAGCGTTCTGTAAACTCCTTAAGAACAGGGTCTGCTTTGTTCCACAACCTGCCTAACTGTTCTGGCGCACAATAATTATGTGTCCAATAAATGGGAGTTCTCTTTTCTTGTACGTAAAATCAAGGAGTTGGGCTACATGTTTGGCAATAAAATGTATTGAATAATTCCAATCCCAACTGCG